ACGATGAGGCGACGAAAACTGAAACAAACTAAACGTTTAATGGGGCGAACCTGTGCCCAACATAAAAAGGAACCAGAAGAAAACAATAGAGCGTCGTGGGCGTCGATGGCGGCGAAACAGCAGGATCGAACGCTAGAGCGAGACTGACTACGGCTTGCCACGCGGAGCACCTTTTGTAGCCACGTGGGTCTCTGGAACATTCGATCTAGAACGTTTGCTGCGTAGAACATTCGTAACTTGATCAGACAAGAAAGTTGTCAAATTTAGGGGAACGCCAAGTGGGAAGAATAAATAAAACAAAATTCCGCTGCCTGGAATCGAACCCACACCTTCAGCGCGACAGCCAAGCACGGTAACCATTCAACCACGTACGCGCTTGCTCAGCGACACGCGTGGCAATAAGAATAATTTATTCCGAATCTGAACATTGTCCCGAAATATCACAACAAAGAGGAGGTAACACGGCACCAATGAAGGCTACTCCACGTTGGGAAACGTGACGTCGGCTAGTTGTGACGTCGGCTAGTTTACTTATTTTTGTCGGTACTTCATAGGATTGTGTGAAAACAAAATAATTTGTTATAGTTGCAGCTTTATTAGAAAATAAGTACCGAAGGTACTGTTATTGATCCCGCAACGCAAAAGTAATTTTTGAGAGTGACATTTGGCTTAAAAATTAAAAGCTTTTTTCCTTACATTTGCGTAACAAAAAACTAAAGCTAAAGTCGATAACGCCGTCCTGCCCCCCTCACCTTCACGCGTGGCAAAATCCTCGTTATGACTCATGACAAACTACGTACTAAACATTTACACAAGCTGATATGGCACCTAAAAGTTTGAAAGCACATTGATTGGAAAGGCAAGGAACGTCTCGATTGCACTTGTTTAATGGCATCATTGTCGTCAAGAAACAGGAAAGTAAAGACAGAAAGTATGGTTGTTGCCTTTATCGTTAACCGGGAAAAGAAATAGAACTTACAGTAATGCGTTGCGTATTAACTGCTAGCACTTAAGAGTGACCTTAGTTGCCAGGACCTCTGCAACGAGCTCCCGTTAACGTACGCGCACTTGGCTCTTTCCATACACTCAAAGGCTCCAACTCTTTTTTTATCTGGAAAGACCTCCAAAATTATTACCGTCTTTGACTCAATTAGTTTGTCTGCTTTTCCATATTCCCCCCCCCCCCCTCCCGTTTCCCCACTACAATTCAAAAACCCGAAAAGGGTTCGCTCTGAAGAAACCGCGAACCTTTTCTCTATATTGCCTGAATTTTATGTCAGGAAAAACTACATTTTCATTTAAAAAAAAATTATTTGAATGTTTTGTTATTAAAGATAGTGAAGATGTGAGCACTCTTTGAGTATAGTGATCAATTACAGGCGTAACGTAACACCGATTCAAGGTAAGCGTTTTCTTAAAGCTACTGGTAACCGTAAATTTAAGTGCACTTAATGAGAGGGCGCAAACGAGTTGGTGAATATTAAGCATGACAAAAGCCCCGAAACAGCGGCTGAAAACAGGACGTACACTAGCGTATATGTCGTTTTCATCCTTCTTTTTTTTTTTTTTTAATGTTCATGGGCTTGCTCAACGTGGAGCGGCAAAACGAATCTCCATATTGTGATAACTCAAGCCTCGATGTCGGCTGATTCTTGCTAGATTTTCCGGGTCAGAAGTTCTACCTATCCTGTAACTTTTTTCGTACAAAAAGTTTAGCCTCTCCTCCCCGTTCAACACACAAGACGTCGGCTACGACCAACTTTGACGCTGTGACCTAGATACAAATACCCCAAACTGCGCCTTTATCTCCATCGCGGATTATCTTCGCTGCCGAAGTTGATATGAAGATGCCATCATCCCTGACGAAAATAATCCCGGACGAAAATAATCCCTGACGAAAATAATCCCCTGCCACCTTTACTGCGCCGCCGCCGCCGCTGCCGTCCCCGTTTCTCTAGTTCTCCGCAGGTCCGCGGGAGGGCGAGCGGCGCGCTGGAGTTGCGAATACCATTGCAATGGGTTTCCGAAGCTGTAGGTTGCCCATGTTATATCTTAGTTACACGGGCGCTCTCAACTGCCATTGAGTCAACGACAGTTGACTCAATCGCGATCGGCCGGAGTTACACGGCGGCGCCAACTGTCATCGAGCCGCTAATGACAGTTGAGCTCAACTGAACGGACTTCCCCAACGGAGGTAAAATGGTGCTTGTTCGTGAGACCGTGGCCACCGACCACCGTTAGCGAGGCACTAAACAACAGAAAATATCTCGCTTAGAAAAATGACGAAAATGAGGGGGTCCAAGACTGATTCTTGAGGTACACCAGAGTTTGCCCTGCGCATCGTAGATGATGTATTGTTGACACAAAAAACGCTTTCATATTTAACAAATGACTTTTTACTCCCCCTAATACCGTACCTCATACTCCAAATACGATGGCTTTGAATGGATGATCCTGTGATTAACCATGTTCAACGGCTTATTCAGGTCAAGGTAAGGAACGTTGAAGTGGCCTTTTTCAGAGACTACTGAAAGTGAATTATACATAAAAAGTGAAAGATTTGTAGCCGCCAATGCGCAAGACATAATGCCACTTTGATTAGAAAGGTTTTGATTACGAAACTTGACATACAAGTTTTGATGTATGCCTTTTCTGAAGAGTTCAATAAATGAAAATAAAAGTGAAGTTGGTCGGAAGTTGAACATCGCCCCAATTTTCTCACTTCAGGACTAAAACGATTGAGGCAACTTTCGATATTTTTGGGTTTATTTCAGATATTTTTAAGTTGTTCAAGACATTTCACGCTATGAGTGTGAGTACCTCGTGGTAATATTTAAAATAGAAAAGGGAATTCGTTCATGTACGGCAGACAGTGACGTTTCAATTGTTCTTATTCATTGCTGGAAAAATATTTTGTAGACATTACTGCGACTAATCACGTTACCAAACCCAGTCTAGTGAGGCAGCTTAGGTGCCGTGCAATCCATGTTTTCTTTCTATAAGGGCCTGAAGTGAGCAGTGAACAAATCAGGCACACTGTTCGCATGGCCTTCCTGGTGATCCGGAAAAATTGGGGCCGAAAAATCTTCAAAAGCTGCGATCTGGCGGATCAAAAGAACAGCTCAGGAATTTCGACAAAATGCACTTCAACGAATTTGATTTTATGTTTCCTGACTAACAACCACAACAGTACTAATGTTAGTAATAACTATAGTAATAATCATAATAATTATAATCATAACAATACTAAATAAACACCGGAGCACCCTTGACACATTGAATAGAGTGTACAAGTAGTCAGATTAGGAGCAACTGCGTTTATAAAATTAGCTTCTTTCTAAATGAAGAAAGGAACTGGAAAGGGTAATCTAATAAAGCTTACAGCTTGGCTCGCACGCAAGCAGAGTTAGAGAGTTAACACGTCTACGGAAGCTGGGGCGAGCTCCCTGAGGAGGGCTGGACTGGTATCCCACACTATAAAAAGTACTGACTCTATCTGCAAGTTCTGTACGTATTTTCTACTTAGTCACAAAGACCGATGTCGTCTCCGGCCGGTACGTTTTCGTAGGTGCCAAGATTGATTTAAATAATATAACTCAGGAAGGTATAGACTACAAGGCATGGGGTTTCAACTCCATTAAAAGAAGGGCAACAAATGGTTCAAACAACGAGGCTCGTCTTCAAGCTTCACGCATGGGGTTAAGGCTCTGGCGATGCACTAAAAATGACGCCCAATATATTCAACAGCTACAACTGTTTTCATGCGTGGGGCTCCGTGCGAAACATTTCCTGCATGAAGTTTATAAAAAAAGATTGAAAAATATAAAGCAGATCGTGATTTCAAAATTATAAATCCGCTTGGGATAAAATGATAAAAAACTACCACCCGGATTACGTATGTGTAATTTTAATACATAGCATAGAGCTTATTAGCAACAGGTTAAGAACAGTCAATCTTCAAAATGTTCTTGCACTTTAGTTCGAAAATTATGTATCTTTCATGCTAAACCCCGCCAATTTGAAGCCGGCATGAGTCGTCTTTTGCGCAATTTCGGTAGTAACTTCTGTACGCGGTAACAATCCAAAACGTTTGCCACTGTCACAAACAGGATAGCAAGAGTTGCTTCTTTGCCGACAGATCAATGATCAAGTTGCGGCCAATTGCTCGATAGTTTTGTGTTACTGACACAGTATTATGTTTGAGCGAGACTGCACGCCAGGTGCATCATACTTCGATTGAAATATTTTTAACCAAACGTACTTAGTCGTCCCTATGGTCAAAGTTTGACTCTAAATTCTGCACATGTGGGAAGTTATTATACACATAAAGGAATTCTAGAATTCGTACTAATCGTTCAATCTTCTAAAAATGTTCGTTTGGTGAAAGCAAAAAAAAAAAGAATGACCTCTTTTTTTCAGAACTCTTGCCATAGAAATGTTCGTCCATATGTTGTTTTTAATATCCTGTTACAACAGATCGAAACCAGTAATCAATGGATACCTTCAGTGTATGTTTTCATATAGGTATGTATATTACCAAAGTTCCCTATAAGTGCATTTCGATGGAACTTGTGGCAAAATGTGTTTTTGCCAAATTAGCTCTTGCTATATTCATATTTTTAAGGAGCTTGGGCGTGGGGAGCACGCCTTTTGTGACGTTTTCTTAACAAACACTCATTGTTTTCATGGCTTTAAACATGGCCAGGAGCCCGAGTTCAATTGTTTAGAGTAAGGTGACGCATGACACGTGTAGAAACGTCAACGCATTGCAGAACGCATTACTTTCGCACGTGTCGTTATAAAGCGACCCGTGCTATTTCATTGGCCATTCTGGTTATAAGTTCACGTGCCTTAGCTTACACAACCTCATATATAAAAAGAGGGATACTTATCGCTTGCAGGCAAAGATAGCTTTAGACTGTTGTCGTCACCACGTATATAAGGCTCATATCGCAGAAGTTTACCATTCTTCATATTTGGTTTCTTAGCGAGAAGTTATAATGCTGGCCGCGACACTTTTTACGGTAATCATTGCTAGTTTTGGTAAGTGCCCAAATATTTATGTTAATAGTTTTCGTGTTTGATATATTGTTCCCGCTCTACTCAACAGGTGAGGTAAAGTGCGCTGAACTAGATCCGGATTTGTGGAAATGTCCAGACGAAAGCTTCGACGATGTAAGTGCATTTTCACGGCTTTTAAGCAATCACAGCGTTGTCAATTTCTTGTTTTGGTGAGACGTGTTTGTATGCCGTTTTGATTGTGTTTTGCGCAGGTTGCAAATACGTGTTTTAATGCTGTAGTGATTTTAAACTGAGCGATCGAGTTATTAAAAAGGACAGTATGAGCGCAGTGTCAGTGTTTTTTTTTTATAAAAGAAGCGCCCAACAGAGTTCACCTCTAACGCTCGATCAACACGCATCAGCTGACGCAACAACACTGCTTGTTTATGAAAGCTTTTTAAACGAGAAAGAAAATGTAAAAAAGAAAACAACATAGCAGTATACTTTTATGAATAACTAAATCTAGCTTAATATATTATACGTGAAGCACACTAGTACCAATGCACATCACAATTGTAATCGAACTCTCTGTGGTATAACCTAGAACTAGAAACAAATGGGCTTCAAATACCATATCTCGTACGCTATGACGCCTCTTATTTAAATCATAACAAAGAGCGTTAATGGTCTGTGGGTATTTTATAAAATTCGGGAAGAGAATTTAGTGTTTTTATGGTTGGCTCTTCTGTAAATTAAAGTGCTGAAAAATAACGGGCATGCAGTCGAGACCGGTATGCACATGTCCCTCCTAGACTTCACAACCTTCTTTTACTCCGTCGTTTCTATTGGAGGTTTTATCTCCACAGCTTGCAGTTCTAGCTACTCAGAAGCATACTCTTCTAGAGTTCTTTTTGCCCCTTTTTTAATAAAAAATATATTTAATGTAAAGCTACCGTTCATGCTCTCTTCGGAGTTTTTCAAATATTGCTACCCTTCCTTTGCATTACCTTATATTCCTCGTTTTTTTTTTATTGTAAACGTGAAAAGTATGGGTTTGATCTTGAAAACACAGATTTTATTTCGAGCAATAGCGTTTTTCTTTTGAAGGTGCACTTCATTAACGAGTGGATATCTGATACCAATGCATTGATGATATCAGTTTATTGCTTCTCATTCCTTTGTCGGCAGACAAAAATCTACCGACAGAACAAAAAATACGCATGCCTCTTATCGCTATCTCCCTTCCTTTCCAATTTTATATGGGAATATGTCTGAAGTTATTTTCATAAGGTGCCCCCTCTCAGTACAGAAAAGTCTACCCTCAGCAATATTTGTCATTTATTTTGTTGTGAAATATGTTTGCCGTTTTGCGTTTGCGCATTTTGAATCCTCTATATTGTGACCTACTCAAATTGTATCAAAGGGTAATTACTACCTTATAGGCACTTGTTTTTGTCTCAGAAAGCCGCACGTAGAACAAATATTTTTTACCGTGACAAACGCCCTACATTATTTACGGAGAGCGAGTAGAATTATAATCAAAAGATGAAGGTAAAATAATTGGAATACACAATACAAAAAATCTACATTTTGCGTGTGTACCAACCGTGGTTATGCTAATGTGCACAACATAACATTTTTCTAAAACTATATTTGTCACTGATTAATACTCAATCATATGGCAAATAATTGTATTTTAATGATAAGGGGAACAAATTGGCTGTTAAAAGTTACATTGCTAAAAGGTATACGGTGTAAGCTAAGAGAGTTAAAATGTCTTCGAGATAAACGAAGGCGTTCTAATTGAGAAATCTGTATAAGTTGAGGGTGGAGATTGGAAAGTCTTAAAAAAAAAAAACACAAAGCCGTGGTATGCTGAGATGAGTATTGAAAGTGAGGAGGAACAGAAAACCTTTGTCATGACATCCTCTGTCACCAAGGCAACGTGTTCATAGTTATAAACAATTAATCGGACAGCTCTAAATTGAAAGAATTCAATAGTATTAGTAAGATAGATTTTATTAAGAGTCAAATTGCCAGGATAACAGGCTACCTTTAGGCTAAGAAAATTCTTGTAGGCCAGCTGCCGTAGAGCGGAATGTGCTGGGTGCAGGCAGCGACGTATGTATCCAAGTGCCCTGGAATATTTATTCAGGCATAGCTGTTAGCCCAGGACAGATTAGGGTTGAAGCGAACACCAATATTCTAATTCGATTGAACGCATTCGATATTTTGCGAACCTAAGGACTACCGAGAAAGAGAGGGAGAATGGATGCGGAAAAAACTGAAACTTGCACTTTCATTCAACGGACGCCAAATCACGGATGCCACCATTTAAAATTTTAAATCGCGGACGCCACCATTCGCGCCACCTTAGCCTCCTCTACACTCAAAGCCTCGTACGACGACGAAGTCATAGAGTGCCCGGTCCCAGATTTGGAGTCCGAGGTCCTGGTAGCACACAGCATCAAAGAGCCATTTTTCGGGGAACCTGGACGGCAGCGCACAGCTTTTGCAGCGACGAGGACCCGGACCACACTTGTTCGCTCAGGAGAATTGCGTTTCGGCGTATCTTCGCAGCGGGGGCGCTAGTCACGTGGCTCCCTTCTCATCCGCTGTTTGCTGGTCCACCTTATTCATTTCGACGGCCGCTTTCTGTGGTAATCTGCCAGGCTTTGTTCGCGCTACCGTTCACATGGCGCGAACGGTAGCGTCCGTGAATTATAACTGTTGAATAAAGATGCACTAATAATGTAGTGCATTTCGCTACTAGAGGAAGCTTGCGGAAAACAGACCAGTTTAACGCGGATGCGCGTACAATTAATTGGCGTTATTTCGCGACAAATGAGAACCAAACAGCGTCCACTTTTTTTTTTTTGCATTTCTGTCGATCTCCTCCGCTCTTTTTCTGTGGAAACCCGGTGCGTGCTTTTTGCAGACAGCAGAGCGCCGCAGCTCGTCTAAACACGTAATGTTTTCTCCCCGCCGAGACTAAGACGGATACACTCGTGAAAGCCGTTCGGCTGGCACTCATGTCCAGTCAATAAGACAAGCACTGCCTCAGCGTTCCGCTGGCAGTCGGCTTATGAACTTTCGTCTAAATTTTGGAAACGCAACTGGTTAGGTACCTTCGATATCGCGCAATTCGGTATTAAAGATATACCATTCCTGGGCTACCTCGGTGAGCCGATTTTATCTCGGTTTAGATATAACCATCAGAGTCATAAAAAAGCACACTCGTCTTTAGACATATCTAAAACCAAAGACCGTATTTTAAAAAAAAGAAAAAAGGTCTGACGTTTTGTGGTGCTCTACCCATTGTGCGACAGAGCGCGATAATGAAACTTCGTCGCTGTGATAAATAAATACATATTTGAACGCAGACTTTTTTACATATATTATAACTATATCAACAGGTAATCTCTCTATCTTAGCCACATGAAAAATACCTGAAAAGCGAAAAAACTGCCCGGCACCCCTGCGTTTTAAATGGGTACGGCTCATTCGTGTAAAATATTTCCGTCCCAGAAGAAAATGTCTCACTTGGGCTAAGTGTAAATCCAAAAGTACTATGTTTACTAATAAAATTTGGCCACCGAACTTTAGATCATTGCGCCGGCCGCCGTGGTGCGCGTCCACAGTGCGCACTTGAAAAAATGAATTAATTAAAAAAATCTATTTGCGAGTGATCCCACTATCACTAAAGTATACTTCTGACCAGAACTCTTGCCATTTTTAACTAATTTTAGCTGCGTCTATAACGCGTACCATCCAACCTATTCCCATAATTTTAGTGAGCGTTTTGTCTATTAAGTATAGTTTCTTGTTCTTTAAAAACGACTTCGAATGGCCTTCCCGTTTTTGTCTAACCGCTAGAAACAGCAGAAATATTCTTGATAAAACATATTTTAAAAATATGACTTAACTTGAAAGGAGTGACCCAACATTGTGCGAGTCCTCTTCCAGAAATTACATAAATACACCAGATCTGTCACAATCACCATTACCTCTCATAACTTTTCAGAGAATTGTGTCCCTATTTAAATTATTTTCTTGTTGTTCGAATTGATGTCCTTTGAAACTTTCATATGTAGTTTAATATTTGAAGTTTTCAAAGAAACCTCCTAATGAGCGCTTGTTACCCGCTACACAAGTAGCGGCTGACAGAGTCTTGTTAAATAGTGCGTTGCAAGTTAAAAAAAATTCGCGTAAATGTGCTTTATTCGGCTATTTCTCAAGTTACGAGCAATTTCTTGAAACCAGCATATGTTACCACGTGTGTTACAATGATGTTTCTATCCGCCAAAAAAGTTCGTCTGCTCCCTGCACAGACATTACAGCGACATCACGGCGCAAGCTTTGATTTTATGATACAGTTGTTTGCGTATGGTTGTATACGAGGCGAAAGACTGCCGGCTTTTTTGCGCAAACGTTGCAGGTTCCTCAGGGCTCTCAGCTTCCATGTTGTCTGCTATCGTATCAATGGCTATCTTGTCTTTTTTATGGCTGTCGAAAGTTTCACAGGTTCTTTGAGTTCGAGTAGTCTGCATTCTGGAGAGGTGATTGAAACTAGTAGAAAAACGTTTTTTCGCCAACATGCAGCTACCAGGCAGGATCCTAAAAACTCAAAGTCAGGTGTTTGCTAATAAACAATATAAATGGAGTCGGGGATGGCGCTTCGTCTCACCCGTGATCATTCTCACTCACAGTTTCTCGCCTTCTCACTTACGCGCAGAGAAACATGGTTTGTTAATTTTGCTGGCCGTATGGTTCGATGTTCTTCTGTGTGCATTTGCCCTCTACACAACAGTAGGTAGGAAGCCTTTTAAGGGAGAACAAATAACTTAAATAAGCAGAAGCGAATATCTGAATACCATAATTATTAAACTTTCTGAACTTATATAATGACACATCACGCTACAAAAAGTACCCCTATGCCGACAGAATACTCAAGTGAATCGAATTTTTGCTCACTTCAATTTAGATGTGTTAAAAAAAAAATCTAAAACAAAACCCGCTTATTTAAAGTCTATGCCTAGTTACACCCATTCAGTTCATTGCTGTTTTCTTGTGCATCAACTACCGACTTATCTCTTTCTGGTCCATTAGAAACTGAAATATTTAGAACAAATATAGATCTTTTATATAGCTTAAATTGTTGTCTTTATTTTTTATCTAGCATTGCTTTACACAATATATTTACTCAAGAATTTGTTTTTTCTTTGAATTAGCCGGGATATTCGTTGAACTGCACTTACGGCTGTAAAAATGGTAACCCAGAAGACACCAACCTTTACTGGGGTCGTTACAAGGATGGTACCGTGTGTGTGGTAAGTACACGTACACATTAGTTAACCTTACGTTTGCTGCTGATTTCCTTCATTTGTAATCATTATCTGTATGTACAAAGTGTAACAGCGGCATGAACATTTCACTTCAAGGTGGTTGCGTAAAGTTTATTGCATTTCTATCTAATTTAATATTTTTTCTATCCCGTCGTCTTTGCTCAAAGTAGATCATATAAATAATGTTTGGAAACAAAGCATACTAATAACGCAATAAACCGGTTTGTTTAGCTTGCGGAGTCGTTGTGGTAACTCATTAAACAAATTCTTGTGTGCGTGCATTTGATATACAAACTAATTGACCAAATAATATTGATATTTATTGTAAAATCATAACGCTATGAGCGCAGCTCATTGCAGCTGATAATTTCAAAAGAAAGATTATGCTGTTCCATTCTTTCAGAACAAGACATATTTATATGCATCACAGGAGAAATTATCTTTATGGTTGTCTTTGTGTGAGAAACCTACTTCAACGGCCGCACTTAATGTTACGGATTCATAATTTTCGTATCATTGTTGATTGAAATAATTCCCCAGACCTCGATAGTTATAACTCGTCGCTGGGATGTTGTTCGAAACTTCTTCAACGTTCATCAGTGTTGTCGAAGAAGACAGCATATAAGTTTGAGTCTGTAATAAAAAGACACCGAATGCAGCGGCAGTCGGAAGTGCTAGTTATTCCCCATAAGATCTGATTCGACATCAAGAAGTATGCTATAAATATTATTTGAATATTTTTTTTCTTTACACTGTGAGTAGTCAAATATTTGTCATTTGAAGGCAAAGCAAAACCATCGGACAGTGATTCAAGAAACAATATTCTTAGTTTACAAGATGCTTCACGATTATTATGTCCGAAAGCCCGCTAAGTTAAGGCACGAGTGCATACGACAAGAGCGCGATGTTTCAGTAAAAGAATGCGTGAGTGTCGACGAGCTGTTTGTGACAAATCTGGGGGCCATCTTTCCGTACGCAGGATGCGAATCGTTGTTATGACTAACAATATTATTTGACAAACAAGAAAAGAAGTATGTTCGCACGCCATTGATTTATTTAACTGACGAAAAGGTTTCGTTTCTTGATAAATGTTTGTGCACATGATTCTTCCGAGGTATACTTTGTGATGAGAGTAAACATGTCAGTCTTTTTTTTTTTTTCTGGCGTCAGCAGCAGGGTATGCGTTTGGATTGCTTGAACACGAAATTCTCATTAAACCATTGGAAGTTAACGTACGTCCGTGTTGTTTGTGTCTTGTTTGCCCCAGTATTTTCAGCTGTTTCGAAATAATTAAATGAGCCACGCGTAATGTAGCTGCAAACTGTGTTTCTTCTCTTTCTATTCGCTTGAATAAAACTAGATTGATATTAGCTCACAAATAAATACAATGGTTCTTGAGCACAAACAAATAAACAAAATATGCCCCGTCAAATGTTTACCGTGTTTTTTGGCTCAGGTGAATAAACTATGCATCGCAGAAATCACAAACTCAGTAAGAATGTAAGCTAGCGGTTGGGATGTAACTTAAACGTTTTAGAAGATGACGTTGCCTGAATTAAAAAAATAAAAATAAAAAACTAAAATTCGCTATCAGCCGATGTCCTTATACCATCAAAACAATAAATTTTTCTGCGAATACCCGTGGGATTTATATGAGTAAAAAACTCGTGTAAGCAAGAAAGGGAATCAATACTGCTTTATTTTTGCTGACACGTTTGTTTCAACAAAATAGATGATTCAATCCCCCACAATGTCATTTTCATTTTGATGAAACTAAGTTTATGTGGACGCGGACTCATAAAAAATATTAGTTTTTCTCAATTACCTTTTGATCCAGGTACCGTCATGTTCTCATACATTCGCCTTTTTCCCAACCGCTGCCGTCAGACTCTCATGGAATTGAATAATTCCGCGATGCATAGTTCAAATACCCGGGTCAAATACCAAGGTTCCCTATTCTCAGGAACTCTGTGTAAAAACAAAATTCAAGGCCAGATTTTCACTCCTTGTCTACATCTCTAGCTGAATAGAGGTGCGTGCGTACTACTAAATATATTATGAACCATTTTTCCTCGTCCCCCTTTAGAAATAAATCTATGTTGTAATGAAGTGTTAGTAAACAGCGTGGCAAACTCATTGATGTTACACATTAAAAAAAAAAAAAAAAAAAAAGATCCCGGAGGCGACGGACGGAACAATGTTGTATAAAACAAGGAACATTTTTTTCGAGGCAGTTCTAGAAAAACATTTATTTTGCGCGTATTGCCAGAAAACTATTCAAACGATCGCGATTCTTAGTGTTATGGATTCACTCTATAAGCCTCAGTTTTAATACATAACTGGCGAGTTACATGTATACGTTAATCACGGTAGTCTTGACGTATTTTGCATCCCTGCTACCTAGCTGTAAGAATTCATTTTTTTATACATAGGGAGCGCAGTCTAGTGTGTTGTAATAGAAATACATTGGGTTTCCTAAACATCTTGCGTTACCGTACGAATTTAATCACGGAAGATTTTTATTCTAGGTTGTATATTACTACTTACTTAATTCTCATTTTTGCGGTATGTGAGCTAAAGAGACAATGTTTTCCCTGCAGGTCCTTCAAGATGGTGACCCTAACAAGTTCGATCACATTGGGACTTGCAAAAACGGAACATGCGTTGAATATAAAGAAGGTAACAGGATTTTGCATGTAAACTAAACATTTAAATTGTATAGAATAAGAAAATGAGGGATTCCTATGATAATTCGTTTTGCACTTGCTTGTTTGCCAAGTATGGCTACCAATGAAACATCCTGCCTAACGCATGCCTGAAGCAGACGCGCGTGGACCGTTTTTGATCAGAGGTTTTGTACAACCTCCTACTTGCGGTCGTATTCGAACATTCCATGTAGCCTGAAAAATCTAAAACATGCCCTACCATTAAAGTCATTGTGAGAGTGGAGGAGATCTTTGTGAGGTGCAACATATTCATCCCAAAACGGTGACACAATAGAAACACCGTCGTATCACTGTCAATGCCAAGAGCTAGTGCCAGGAGACGCGCTTTCACGCGCTCCAGAACAAAAAAAGAAACAAAAGCGTTCGGTAGAGACTAGAAGAAAACAAAATCGTTCGGGACAAAACATATGTCTTTTTTTTCCGAACGCTTTTGTTCACGAACCTCCCTCTCCCACGGTGCGTGAACCCGACGTCAATGCGCTGCGACTTAAGTGTGACGTCTAGCAGCTATTGCTGTGTCTGTGCTCTGAATTAACCAAGGACTGCTCAATTTCTTGTAACTTTGTACCCACAACCGAAGTTGTGGGTACAATTTGTGAAACGTTCGAGACACAAGCATACCCCTATTTAATTGTACTCTACCTAACAGTTTTATTTTTTTTCCAGAACTACACACAACTAATCGTTATTACGTCTTTAACTGGTCACATTAGCAATTTTTGACTTTACCCCGATCAAAATTACCTCATTCAAACCTATTATAAATAACTCAACAATGGTAAAAAGGTCTATCCCAAAAAAAAAAAAAAACGTTTCTTAGAGCGTGTTTCACTCGCCCAACTATCTAAACGTACACGCTACCTCTTCATATTGACAAGAGTATTCCTAAAAACCTCCAACTATACGTTTCAATTTTCATGTTATTCTACCATAAAGTTTTTGCTTACTTTCTTTTTATATTTGTTATGAAGTAAAAGGTATTATGATTCTTCCATGACCTTACCGAATGCCGCGCAGAACTGATATTTTATACTTTTTCGTTCCGACAGACAACATACAACAAGTATGGAGCCAACTTCCTGAGACGCAAGCCCAGTTTCATTATTGCGACCCCAAGTCTAGCGTGAGTTATGAAATCAATATATGCTAATGAAACCTAAAACAAATCATAAGTATAATAGAAACGTTTTTTATTGTTGAACTCACGTCACATATTACTATATTTAGTCGTCTAAGCACCAGAGCTCACTGTCAATTCACTTAGCAAGTATAATATTCTACGGTGACCAGGCAAATCAATATTCGGCTTAAATACTAAGTATATTATTTCGTGAAATCCATTCCTTATTTAAGAGACCATATATAGAGTTTTCGAGCTCATTTGTATCAACGTACAAAAATATGATGCTCGCCATGTAGTTTGTGGCTTCTCGTGGCCGGCTTGTCGGCTTTGGCAAGAAAAACAGACCCGTTTTTCTTTTTTTTTAAATGTTCTCTTCTATCAGCTGTTATCTCCTCCTGCCCCCCCCCCCCCCCCCCCCCCTCCTCCAACGATGACCGTTCGGCCTCTTGGTGTAACTACCACGTTACTTTTTTTCTCTTTCGCAAGACCTCTCTCTCTCTTTCTCGGCGTGTCGAACCAATGCAGAAGTGCTCACAGTCCTGTTGATAAAGTTCGAAACATTTATTGGTGCGCCGACTCTCCAATACAGAAAAATGTTGTCCACGTTGAGTGCCGTATTGTGTGGTTTCTATCGACGTAGCCTTCGGGAACGTGGCAGAGCAGCATGCGACCAAAAAGCGCGTCCAAATTGGGGCGCGTGAAGACAGCACCGCGTCAAAAGAGGACAAGAGGCCATCAAGAACACTGCATGCGACAAAACAGCACGACGTCAATGCATGCTGCTTTTTGCATACGCATTACGTATTATTCGCAGAACGAGCTATTTTTAGTACTTGCTGCCAAAGTGTTTTTCAGCCCACATGTATTGCCATTGCATTTTATGTTGTACCGTTATGCGACTTTATATGATTACCGTGTGCCTTTATATTTTTTTGCCTATACTTACAGCTTTTATTCAATATTTGGTAATATAAAACCTTGCCACCACAGTCAAATGAGGCTAAATTTCTTGCCGTCGTTTAATGTGTGAGGATTGTTAATCCGTTTACGTCTTATATCGTAGAATTTATACCCCATTTAACTAAAACGAAGAATGAAGTTCACAATTAACGAGTTCAGTGTAATTTTTGCCTTAAAGACCGAGCAAAGCCTCACCCAGCAGATGACTGGCGACCAATGAGGATCTACCTCATTGGGTTCTGATCCAGACGCAAGAATCTCGGAGACAGCTGAACGTCCTGTCCCAGTATGATACCGGCCCTGATTAACTCTCTTTTGCACTGTCGCTGCGATAGATCTTTTTATATACATCACTGGTTTTCGCGATACACTCTGTGATCTCGAATGCGCCGTGCGTATGCGTAACTCGATGTGCAGGGTGTACAGATACGTACGACGTTCACATACGCAGGCGCCGCCCATATATGGACGTCATCATTCAGGACGTCATCCTTGGGATCGTTCTAGGTGTCGTCCTTGAGATGAACCTGGAGGTCGTCTTAGAGGTCGTTGTAGACGTGGTCTTTGACGTCGTCCTCTAGAACGTCGTCCTCGGCGTTGTTCTAGCAAATAGATAAACCCGCGCCCCGCATACACGGAGCGGCATCAGTTGGCTTCAGTTGAGGTAGCTGGTATATGGTGAATGCTGCTGGAGGAACAGCTCGAGCATTAAACGATTAAAAGAGACATAAAAAGACACAACACACGAAGCTGCAATGATACCGTGGAAACAGTTTGAACATTAAACGGCTACACAGATACAGAAGACTTAACAATTAAACAAAGACGATGAGTCGCATTTCAAAGTGGCACGCTGTTGTCGCGGTGACGTCAATAATTGCGTCGTAAACCATTCATAAAATAAAGGGTTTACTGTAAATTCGCATCGTCGTATTCAAAGTGAGCATTGTCGCGAGTCTCATAACGAATGCTATCGTAATTCATAGACAACCTACAAAAGTTGTTTCTGCAGCAATTGTTTCTTACTGAATGTAAACACCAAGTATCGAGCGCGACACTGTTGGCGCAAACAAGCGATCGCCATTTTTTTGTGTTTTTTCTTACTACCGAAAGGTTGTCATCTAAGATATTATTGTTATAGAAAGAGCTCATTTAGGACTCTAATATAAGGGGTAAAATTGCCTGCCAACTAATACTCTTTCCTAATAAAATCCTAAATGTTGCCGATGTCATGTTCGCGCTAACAGTCTCGCCATGTGTACAAAAGTGTATGTCGAATAAACCACTTCTATAGCAATTCCATGAAATTCGCTAATCGTGATCTTCATTATTATATTGAGTAAAGAGGGTGCTGCATTTGTACAAAATAAAGCGTTAACCGATTACCAATCAGTCAGTCATTAAAGGGCGGCAAGAAATTTAGCTTGAGTGGCTTGCCGTGGGTAGTTTATTTTATTACTGAACATACTGAACATGTGTTAAAAAATATACGTTTTAATAAAAAGATAACGGAGCAGGAATAATGTAAAGTCTTAGAACAGTAGAACAAAAATAGTAACAAGTATACACGTACTCTCTTGAACAGGTTAGCAGGAAGTACTCCATTTAGGTGCGTTCTGCTAACAATGTGTCCTACAGAGAAAAAAACACGCATATACTTACGTGCGTGGTCTTTTGTCCCGCGCTGTTTTGTTGGGTGCTTTTGTGGCGTGGTGCCGCAGCCTTCGTGTGTTGTCTTTTTTATTTTCGTGAGGGCACCCCGACTTTTTTCTTAAACTATCACTTTCTTTTTTTTTTTTCATCTAAAAAAAGATAGACTAACGAAGGCTACATTTAAAAAAGTACGGCAAGATGGATTGTCTTTAACGCGCTCTAAAACTTCTAAAACTTTTGCTTAGGAGGGCTATTATACCGATTAGTGTTTAAAAAGTTAGTTTTTTAATATTTGTCAACTAGCTACTAGAGGTTATTGAAAAACATATTGACTAAATCAATAGAACTGTTAACACTACTGTGTATGTTCGAAACCCATTGCGTGTACCAGGCATATTTGGGTTTTTGCGCCATTTCGCTTTAACACCCTCTATGTGTATACAATCGACGACAGAGAGGAAATTTTACTTCTTATTTTATAAAGAGTGATTCATGGTGCTTTGTACCTTACATTCTTCAGACGGATCCCGTGGACAAATGCCTGCATATTTGCAACAAAACTCATCCAGTTGGAAAGAGTGGATATTTTTTCGGCATTTATCTGGATCATAATCCCTGCAATGTGAGTACAATTAAACATAAAACTGTGAAGAAGCAGGGAATTGTTATTAACGTATTATAAAGGTATATAAAGCGGACTCTATTTCAATTGCTTTTGACCGCTTACAACTGGAGATTACACCTGCACACAGGTGCCATCTATGGGATATCCCTGAAACTTTTTCGGCATGCGTTAAAATAGACAAGTTTTGGACATATTTGCGACACCAAATCTATGCACCCTTTACGGCCAATCGTCGGGTGTAACATTATAAGTATTATTTTAGGCCTACGGTGAAATATTCGTGAGTAAAAATAAACAAGTATGCGCAAGCCTGAAGTGTTCCTTGAGGAACCAACAGATGAGGATAGTGCCTTATTTCGTCCTAAGCAGTAGCTGCATGAAACAGCCTTAAAGGAACACTGACAACCAAAACATCGGAACTTGTTTATTCTTTTAAACTCTTCAAAAGTGCCTGACACAATCTTTAATAAAAGTTCATCTCGACAACAAACTTGTAGCGGGGGGAAGAGCCCATAAATGGTACACGTCCTCAGTCCACTATCCGTGCTCTACCTCACGTCCTTATTTTTCATTTGATTACGTAGAAGGCGAAGGCATTTGTCAGTTATTTTGAAATGTCGCAATTCGCAGATGTGTGCAACAACTGTTGCACACATGTGCATTGTTGCACACATATTACATCGTTGAATTCAAAAGGTCAAATCTTTGAGCCCGGAAACCGAAGCATCGGTCATTTTTTGCTTTCAACAAATACCGTGTTTAAGTGTTGAGGGCGCACAGGAAAATGTAACGAAACGCCACGGAAAATGCTACGCAATCTTTAACAAGTACTTTACAGCACAATCTGTAAATGGATAGGAACACGCATAATTGAGAAGAAATACTACATAATAGAAAGAAAAAATCACTTTCATAACGCGCCTCGATAAAATCGCACGAACGACCCTTCAATTATGAGACTGACACTGTGCTGCTGGGCCGGAGAAGCATTTCGTTTTTCTCTAATAGGCGTCAAAATATTTCATTTTTTATTCGATACCCCATGGGGTACGGAAGTCTGTCCGCGCCAAAGAGACACTGGTGAACGTGAACCCGGAGTTTCGGACGCCGGCGATCGACGATTGAACGGGTTCGAACAGCAAAAACAAAAAAAAGCTAGGCACGCTTTTTTTTTTGTGTTCTTGCTTTTATTATTTTAGACCAGAATATTTCGAGTGCACAAAGACTCATGCAGGTAAATATTTTGCCAACAAACCAGCGGAGTAACGGCCAACCCTGACTGACTTGATATATCTAAAAGAAACCAGCCTGTTAAGGGCAGGGAACCAATGTGTGAAATTTCCCAGAACTTGATACTCGACTCGAATTTCCTCGGTTCTCCAAAAAAGTACCTGCTTACAACTTGTACCTTTACATCAGCAAGCTGCACTGCCATAAGCGGCTCTCCCAGATACTGTGTAATCCCACCAAGATAAATAAACCATCTTTCACAGCGTCGGCTAAGTCAAGCGGCAGAGAGCGTATCCCATGTGCAGTTATAGCAAAGTCCTTTTTCACAGTATGCTGCAGTACATCTCAGTAAAATACTGCTTCCGAACAGTCTAAGAACTGTCTTTACGTATTTTCGATAATCACTGCGACAGATCTTCGTGCTTCTAATGTCCCCGTATGCTTTAAATACTGCTAAAATAATATATATTAAACCAAAAAGGGAGGCGTCGTCTCCGCACGGAGAAGGGACACGTGAATGTGCTCAGCGAAAGAAACAACATAAAAGCCGACAAACAAGCAGAAAAGAAAAAAGCTTACTCGCCCGAAGCCCTGATCGACGGTAATATTTAGAAGGGAAAAAAAATGAACCACACTTCCTCTCGGAAGTCACCCAAAAAGACCAGTGAGGGCACCATATTTGCATCTAGGTCATTGTTTCGGCAAATGCTTCAAAACGTGCCTGTCAAAAAAAAAAAGGGTTTTCTTTAGAAATGCATTGTTCTGAATCCTAAACTTTTAGGACGACCCCAAGTGATCCTTCACTTGTGTTTGCGACAATAACAATTGTTAGCAGTGGCCCTTTTGCGGTTTTGTTCTGTCGTCTAATTATACGGGAGATGCTAGAAACATTTTGTGCAATCTCAATCTACGCAAAAACGCCTGGCTGACAGAAACTCGATGATAGCATGGTTAAAAATGTCCGGTAAAAGATTATTACTTCAGGATATCAAAACACTCTTCAAGTGCACTCAAGCTTACCGCAAAGTCCCGATAGAAAGCCTCGTTCAAGAGATTCCTTATTCCCGATTCAAAAGTTTCTTTTCCACAGTTTAAGTGTCAAGACAATATTACATTGCGCGTTTGTAATATGGCGAATTCATAAATTAGAGAAAAACTGTTTGAAAAGCGACATACAGCACCGGATGACACATGTAGTGAATCGCCTTGATAGTAGTAAGGGCTGCATCAACGCTTCTGTCAATGCTGCCCCATGCTGAATTCGTATTTTTGAGCAAACAGGAAATGCTGGAATGTTTGCAGTCGGGTACCTTTGCAGAGCTAAAATAACGCAACATTTAGACGAAGGTTTTTGCTATGTTTTATAAACTGTCAACCAGTACAGTTTTAATCAGCGCATTCGCGTGCTCATAATATTAAAATATTTTTCACCGTAAATCATTCTTGCTTTCCAGTTCACTGGTGAGCGTGGTGAATGCAGAAGTGGACTGTGTGTTAATACTACCGGGACGCATCCCATTGAAAACTGAGGCTTAAATCTTCGCTCAAAAAAGCCAATCTTAATAAAAGTATATCTTCCTCTCTATTGATTACATTCTTTCTAAACAAAATAATTTAAAAGGTGCACATACTGTGACTGCTTCTATTTAACGAAACCAATGGATTCTTAAGACAACTCAACATACGTTGAATTTTATTAGGAGCAAGAATATAAGAATCTCAACCAATTTAGTCAATACCAATAACAAGCACCGAATTTGTGAGCACATTCGAACAGTTATCAGCGCCCTTACCAAAACTATTTCAGGCTAACTGTAAAAATCCTCGCCAGAATTAAACGCATTTTTAACCTTCCTATCCAGTCACGTCGAACACATATATTTAAGAAATGTTTTATAGACATTCTTTCAACTGAACTCCATAAAGTACAGACGTTAGAAATGCGTCAAAAGTTTTATCACGACGTATGTTTGTGATTTATGTTTTCACATATACATCTATAAATATATTATATAGATTAGACTGAATGAAATATTCTTACATAGTGCGGAAGAGCGACATCACACCCAGTCAGAATCTCCTTGCGGAGGAAAGTTTTCCGACCGTGTCAAAATATTATTGCCTCAGGCAATGCTTTATATATAGAGATACGGTTCCTTAATTCCTAGCAAACATATTAAAACAGATCCTTGACGAGAAAAAAGGTACGTGCTTGTAATCCTTTCAAGTTCCGGAATGATGTTCGTTCAATTGATTGCTTACAAAGCGAAGCGTATTTCTTGCAGTGGAGCTGCCAACTCCAGTTAATCAGTGCACTATGACTGCTTCTTGGCGTACGTATTTGTGATGTGTGCGTGTAAATGGGAAGTGTGACCGTTAATAAAATCACCTGCTCTTTCCACTGTTTGTGTAAAGTCGTACAGTCCAAATAGCAAGGCGAAGCCTGTTCTGGGTTTGGCTAAATAAGTTAAAAAGTAGCATTGAGTCGCGCTACAGAAACACTGAGGTATAGCGTTTGGCTTCGCTGGCTGTTTCGTACGTACAACGAACGGAGTATGGCTTGCGCGCTCACGCTGAGCGACCCCTAAAGCGTGCACTCTGCGAGCCCAAGCTGGGACAGAAACAGGCCGAGCTGCCAGGCGGACGCTACAAGCCACATCGAAGCCACACCGAAGATGGATGAAGGAATCTGACGCTTCGGTGTGGCCTAGCAACTCACGGAGCGCGAGGTCACATGGCACGTCTTTGGCGCTAGATTGGCTGGGACGCTTGTATCAAAGACCTCGGTCTCTAGCGTTGAACGCGAAAGCGTGGATTGTGGCGGTTGCGATATTGTCGTGGCCTCTTTTTTGTCACATTATTTGCGGTGGCACAGCAGACAGAAATCGGGAACAGACCATTCTCTCTACGGCGGGGAAGTCTCTACCTTTTGTGGTGAAACCGATCTTGGCGTCACCTGGTGTCACGCAAACGCACGTGCCATGACCCGCCGTGGGGTGTTGCCATGGCATTTATATAATTACAACTGCAGGCGCCGCATATAATTGGCCGTATTTTTTGTGCAGCGCGCAAGAGATTGAGCACCAAATTATTTGTCGGCCGGAAGAGAAATGTCGCCATTCACCAGAATAGCCAGGCTTGTGCGGCTTGCGGCGAGCTGTGGCTCCGCTGGCGTGGCTGTGCTTTAATTGTTTTGTTAATCGCACAAAATACAAAACTATATTAAAGGAGTAATAGCAGAGCTTCACAATACGAGATGAAGCACTAATCGTTGGCGATATACCAACGCCTCCTAATCTAGTTGCGCTTTCATAGCAGTTAAACTTTCCCTAAAATTGTAATTGTTTGCAACAAATAAACTTGCTTTATTTTGAAATTGCTCATTTTTTTTTCGTACCAGAGAGAGCTCGTTGGAGACGCGTGAGGATTATCCCAAAGGCAGAAGGAACCCAAGTGAGGGCTTTTTCTGGCTCCTAGAAACAAAGACTGCAGAAAACAAAATTTTAGATATAGTGAAATGCACATGACACATTTCTGGCTCAAAATCAAGCCGAAGTCCATGCTGGTAAAACTCCAACCTAGCCTTGTTCGATCTACTTGCACCTCTTGCACCCCCGCAGAAAAGTATAGGGCGGTGCACTTCCGGTATGCGTATTGAGATAGGACCTGAAGTACACCACCCTACACTTTTCTGTACCTATACAAAAGGTGCACCTAAATGGAACGAAGCTCCTCTTGCTTTGCGTGGGGGCATTGTGTTACAACTAATGGCTTTTGTGTTGAAGTCGATGGCGCCACTGGAGCAGTCGGCAACATTACAGAGTTACGGATAGTAATTTAATTTTAAATATTGGCTGTACGTGCCTTTCATGCGACGTAAGATGGCATCGTATCATTCTCCTTCGCCCGTATCTTCTGCGGAATACCTTTGACACCATCACACTTGCTCTTGGCCAGCCTTGCCAAGAAGACCGGAACCGATGAAGCCAAAATGTATGCTGCAGTAGGAACGGGCACAGGAGCATGGTAAAAATTAACGGCAGCAAACATTACGTCAATGAAAGCCATGTATTCTACGATAAGAGTAGCCAAAGCCTGAACGATTGACTTCGGAGGTAAAAACATGACGAGGTAAACATCTAGAGATTCTAGACGAACCAATCACGCCTCGTTGTGCTTCTTGAATTTTGCCTGGAATTTGTGGCACGCACGAAGCTTTGAAGATGTATGAACCCCAAATGTTATGTCAACTAAAACTCTCTTAAATGCAAATTATTAGGGTAATATGCAGAACTGGTTCACGTGCGGTTTTGAAGACTATGTACCAGAAGAGTTGATACTGTTTTGTGAATCCAACATATGTTTATTCAAGTTACGTCACTAAAGTTCTGCTATGCTCCGGTACGCTGCTGTGCACTCTTTTTACAGGTGTATATTTATGCGCTCAATTTTACTGTTCCCACGCGAGCCCCCTTAGGTCACGTGACCTCAAGGAGTCACCTATCCCTCAGTACGCTTCCATCTTCCTCCTCAAGAGCTGCGCTCTAACCGGCGTTACAGGGAATTGTACACGGCTTCCATTTTTGGGCACAAGTCCGCCCCATTAAACGTTTCAGTTTCTCCAGTTATTCTTTGTTTTCTCGCCTGTTTATTTGTGACAATATCGCCTTACGAGTATTGTTGTAGGAATTGTAGCGTCCCGCCTACAGCTCCTGCATTGTTTTTGTTTTTTTAATCTGAACTTCGGTTCACCATCCCTTTAAAGCATGTTCGTGACACACTTCTGAACAAGTTTGAACTTAAATATTGTAATGAACCTGGAGATCGGCAGTAGTGTGTTGTATGTGCAGTTCACCTGCAAAAACTCAATGCTCTCCCCAATAATGCATAGAAAAAAATAACGCACATATAAAACACGCACGACATATTTTGTGTCACACCGGCTTGTTAAGGATAATCAAAAATATGGTTTGATAATTGCCAAAATTTACAAACTTTTTTTTTGTTTACTGTCAAAGGTGGCAAGCCAGGTACCTGCAAGAGCTGAACTCGCAGCCATTTTTCAATATAAGTAACCCAGCTTTGATTTCCTATATACTAGATGGCCCTTTTCCAGATGTCTCTTTTAAATGCCACCAAAACATCAACCATGTCCACCGGTCGCGTGCCGCTAGAGCCACGCTTCAGTGGCAGCGTGCTTCAGGAGCTTGACCATCTTGGGAAGCTTACAAGGAGAAAGTGACATGGGAGGTTGTAAAGGCATTTTTTTTCTAGAGTTCACAATGAAGCCCATGTACGTGCGAAGCTGAAGGCCGGTTTTACCTTTTATTTTTATTTCTTGCGCAGTACAAAATTCGTGGCCAAATGGGTGAACGACATGTGTCTATGCGTCCCCACAATTCGGCTTCGTAGGTTTTCGGAGGAGATGGGTGTTTCAAGGAGTACGAAAGAGTGAAAACGAAGGGAAAGTCGCTCGCAGCAAGTTGGAACAAAGGAAATACGTTTAAGCGCGCCAGAAATGAGAGAGGAGAAAGACACAGGTAGAAAAATATCCGCCATCTTTGCCAAAGCTTTTCAGCGAATGCAATTTGGCTCTTTTTTATAATTATTCTGCTGTTGCGCAGAAACGCTTTGTATGCTCAAGCAACCGTCGTCTTAGGAGAATAAGCCAAAATAAAATAACTGATACGAGTTGTATATAGCTACGATTACGAATGGAATCGCGGATTGATGTGTCTATGCAAAAGTCTGAATGGAAGATAAATGTGGATATAAGCATCATCACCCTCCACGTTGGGGCTCCAGAAATTATTATTTGTGACTGGTACATGCTGCAATGTGAGGGCTGTGTGGCTGTCAATTTATTTAAGCGATGTTGGTTCGGACCAATTGTTTCACAAACAATATCACTTCTGGCAAACACTAATCAAGACGATTTCACATTTTACACTAAACAATAAAAGTCGTATTCAGCTCATAGTAACTGCAGGCGAATCGGTGGTTCTATCTTTCCCATGTGGTGTGGCAGTAGTTCTATTTCACGTAGCAGGTTTGGGAGCGTCTTCGTTTGCCATTGGCTCTGTGGGAGCGGTTTCGTTTTTCGTTGGCTCTGTAGGACTGGTTCCATTTCTCATTGGTGGAGTGGATCCGATATCATTTTCCACTGGTGGTGTGGCAGTGGTTCCATTTTCGACTTGCGGTCTTTGTGTAATGTCCGGAGGTGTGGCTTCGGTGATTGTATTGGTAATCAGATAACAATTGCCGTAAAAGCAGGAACCTGGACGTTTCTCGGGGCCGTACTGCACAAGAGAAACATAAGCTCGAAAAGAAAGCAGAACAAAAGGCATACCATTTTTAAATGTTAACGGGCGTGGAAAGAGGAAAGCAGCCTCACCGTTTAGTATCGCCTTGCATTCTGAATGTTTATTGCACCCTTTTTTATCTCGTTTTCTTTCTCAAACTAATAAAAACTGCACGCAGGTAGTCATCATCTATCAAGTCATCTTGCTTAAAGAATGATTCTCTTCAA